CCAAAAGGCCGTGAACATAAGTGTTCAAAATTATAGCGGAATTTACTACACAGAAAACTGTGTTTTTGTCGTCCCACCTGGCCGCTGACAGTCGGCCGAAAAATCATCCAAAACGACCAAATCCGCATTGTAGCCCGTCTACCTAAGTCCCAAAATTCATCACCTAATCCTAATAATTCATCTATCTTCCACCTCGTCATAGCTGGCGTGGCAAAAACCTTCTCCCAAAAACTTATCGAGGATAACCTATCCGAAAACAACTTTCCCTATACCAAAGTAGTTCGAATAATCGCCCGCTCCACCAATCAACCCACCTCCTACATCAGAGTATTCACTAACTCTGAAACCAAGTTCGCTGAAGCGCTCACGAGCGGTATTTTGATTAAGGGTGAACGGTTTGCCTGTGAAATTCCACGATCAGGCAACTCCGTCCTCGTTCGGTCTAAATACTGCTCGAGATGCTGCAAAAGCGGACATTTCAACACTGAATGTTCCGAAAAGTCAATCATTTGTCCGTTCTGCGGACTTAGCCATCGGTCTACTGCCTGCCCCACAATATCAGCACCAAAGTGTCCCAACTGTAGTGGTCCTCACCCTGCCTTCTCACCACGATGTCCTCACAGAAGCGCTCATCCCGCAAACTACAACCAAACCCAACCAGTACACACAGAAAAACAAATCCCATCCTACGACCTAACCTCCGACATGAAATCCCTCATCCACTTCACATCCATGCTCCTATTCAACGTCTTCCCTGAAAAGAGAAGCGCAATAACCCTATTCCTTAACCAAATATCAAACGCAATGTATGGATGTGCCATAGCCACTTCATGCACAAACAACCTAGTCAATCAAACCTTCACTCACCTACACATCTGAAAATCACACCTTACATATCAACACACATTCACACACACACATCAATACACCCATACACAACACTTTACCTCCTCCCAGCTCACAATCCAAATTAATAAACACCTAATCCCATATCACAATAATAAACATAAAATCCAAATTAATAAACATACAAAACTCCACCAACACACAACACAACACTACACTGTGAGCACCGACTACACTCCTTAAGAGTCGATTAAATATACACAAGGACAGGGGGAGATTGGTTTTCTGTGGTTTCCCAATCTCATTGCACAATGATACCTGATCCTAGGTGAGGACACAGCCACAGCTATCCTCCACGCGTTTTTCCAACAAACAAACAATGGCCAACAATCTGAAAGGAATCGTTTTTTCCATGGAACTTGTACTTCGTGACAGGCTTGGTATACCGGGCTAACTCTTCCGGAAGGTACGATTTCCGCCTCTTGCCTTCTTCTTGTTCTCGGCTCCCTTCCTATCCTTTTCCTACCCTCTTTGACTTTTTAGCTTTTTAGCGGCGGCGCCCTTAGTCTTCGGAGTCCAACTGAAGTCATATGAACGAAAACTGGCATTTCAAACCAAACAAGCATAAGCACCCAAGTAACAAACCCATCCTTGAAGAAGCATAGAGCTTAAAGCAAGGTAAAAACGCATTGATTGATTGACCAATTATTATTGGTAAAAGTATTTCATCACATTCCAGAAAATGGAAAAAATGGAACATTGTACCTCTTTTGGTATGGGAAAAAAGTTGGCACTCTATTGCACTTCTTGTATTTTTAGACATTTTAAGTGATTAAAAATATAGCATTTTCCACCTAAGAAGACAGCTTTGCAATTAAATGTTGATAACTTTATTACTAGCGGACCTAATAAGCATCGATATGTTTTACACTACCTTTATGAATAACATTTTACTGCTCTGTTGTTTCAATCAGCACTGCTCTACAAGTTATCGTTTGTTGGTTTAAATATTTTATTGCAATAGAACGAGTACGGAATATTTATTTAAACAGTGAATTTTATCAATTTTTTTTTTATTTCTTCTGACGTATCGTATAATTTAGGTTTACCCAATAATCAAAGTTCTGCGTTTACAAGAATATATTATTTGAAAAATAAGGAGCATGTGCCATAATAATTGTAATCTCCTTTATACACACTTTAAAAATTTGTTAGTAATGTATTAGTATTTCTTAAATCCACACAATCATTAAAAAATTATTCATGCTATTTAAAAATATCTTTCTGTTAACGATACTGTTATCGAAAAAGTAGATCAAATTAAAACTTGCCATCATATTACATTTCTGTTTATCGTTAAAAATTAAAGCTGGACAAAAGAAGAAATAAAGTTGTGGTTGACAGAAAAGAAAATTTATCACAGTGACATATTTTTAAAAGTCGATTAACTTTAAAGGTGTGGAGAGCACCAAATTCAAAAGAAATTTGTTACTGACCAAATGGCTCTTAAATATGGCCATGAAGTTCTTGGACTTCTGCCCTACCATTGTCACTATAATGAAATTGAGTTAGTTTGGTGTATAGTCAAAAATTTTTATGATAAACACTCATCCAAAACAACAGATGACGCTAGCGTTCTTAGTTTATGGAAAATATCGCTAGAACAAATAATAATGGCAGAATATTGGCAAACTTTTATTAGACATACGGAAGACATAATCGTTCAGTCTTTTCAAACCGAGTTAGTTTTAGATGAGGTCCGGCCTCTAATTATTCGGATAGACAATTCATATTGTGACAACTCTAATAGTGAAATATACGACAGTGAATAGGACAAATCGTTTGCTAAAATGAAGTAACAAAGAAGTGTTTCGGGAATTCAATTCGGACTTTGTGGTGCGTTTTAGTTAAACGATAAAGTACTTTAGGTCTAATTACTGGACTGCATACTCTCAGTAGCTTTGGTATTAATTACTGGACTACACGTGTTTAAACTTTTTGTTTTGCTGAAAACTCAGAAGTGATTTAGCGCCAATTTGTTTCAAGGATATATTTAATACAATGTCTGCAGAAAGTAGTCTTGAATGTATTTTATTCAAATTTGGACATGCTTGGCAAGTATTTTCCAATTTTACTGCATGCAAAACCATTTTTATAATTTTCACTCTACGCAAAATAGAGACTTATAGAGACCTTGATGAACATTTGATGTTGACAAATAATTTCGAGTTTTTAACACGCCCTGTATATACATATTATATTCATTTTATTTGCCTTTAATACAGTAAGATCCAATATTATACTTGAACATAAAATACAGGAAATTAAATATTTTTACTTTTCAAGCAATCGGCATTAAATATTAACGTCCCAATGTTTGAGGCCCACTGATCATATCTTAATTGCATATCGGCCGTCATAGGGTAAAAGGACTTTAGGCGATGACTAACAAAATAAAGTCATCGATGTAGCGTCTAGTAGTTTATCTTGTTGTGCAAGTTGTGCAAGTCACAACAAGTTTCAATGATACAGGACTGGTCACATATTAAAGGTCTACTACCTTACTGGCTCGTAACTATTATAACATTTCAAAAAGAAAAAATTGTTCTTAAAATATAAGCAATAAAGAAACCACTGACTACTGAAAATATGTATTAGAATAAATAAAATAATAACTTTTAATAAAAAAAATCAATCTAACCTCTTAAAATAAAAATTTAATGAAAGTGGTGTAGGCGGTGGAAGCATTTGACATATATTTTTGTAATTTTCTGAAAATATTTTTTTTATACTTAAACCTTTCTGTACGTTAGGTATGACCAATTGAAAAAAAAATCGCTTCACCCTACTGGTTACTGCGATGGTATTTCAGGGCAGCGATTTTAGAAAGTTTTTAAGTAATGTTTTTAGCAGACCAATACCTTACAAATCAATATTACGGATAAGTATAAAAAACAACTACAAAAAATAATAAAAGAACTTGTTTAGTAAAATTGTAACAATACATCGGTTTCGTATGTCTGCTGAGCTTTTAATGTATTTAAACTAGAATTAAGTTTCCCATTACAAGACATTACATAGCAAACTTTTCCTGTGAACTTATCCTACACTATAACCATAAATTTTTGCAACACTTTAACTACTCTGACATTCTAGCGCTAATCTCATTATATGGTTTAATCTTCCATTAAATGCTTCCTACGACTTTGCTAATATCAAAATAAATACTAACATACTATCCATTAAAACCCCTTTATTGCCATAAAAATATCTTGTTGTTTTTGTTTCGTAAGAAACTCCACTATTAGGACCTCACTCGAAACTCTAAGATAGAAATATGTCGTTTTTTACAAGAAAATGCATTAAGCTGCAGGAAAATGCGTTCGAGTTTTATGTGTTTTCCGTTAGCGTTGCAGATATTTTTCAAGATTATGCTTGTAATGGATCTCACTGGATGTTCTTTATTAGATCCCGTAAATTGTGGTATTTATTTGTTTATTATACCTACCAAGGAAAATTGATACAATGTTTCTTTAGTTAATATTGTAAATGTTAATTTTAAAATACAACCAGAAAATTCGTTCAGCAGTCTCGCGATGGCATTATTTATCAACCGAAGTAATTAGTAGGGTATGTGGGGAAGTGCGCTCCCTTTTATTCATATTTGGTTTTAATTGTATCGATGCTTCAATTGGGTTATTTCTGCCAAATCGATAATAAGTGCACTAAGTAATTTGACAATGATCTTTATTTAGGGAAGATTCCAAATCTGTGGCATTTCACGATTATTAATTATAATTTTTTTTCTCTTACATATCGCAGTAGCGCACTTATCCCGTCAGTTTGGGGCAAGTGCGTCTCCCGGGCATAGTTTTATGAGTTTCCTTGCGTTGAATTACGGGGTAAGTGCACTTATTTACTAGGCTTTTCTGAACACAGTTCTAATTTTTTTTAATTTTCATAATTTTGAAAACAAAATAACTTCAGAAGGGTCTAATGACACACCAAAAAATGAGAAAGTACTTTATTTAAATGAAAAAATTGTACAGTTTATCTTAATTTATGTTGTATATCTTGCGGAAACTTAATATTAAAATTATGCATTCCTCTCCTAACATGTGGAGCTGGTAATACTTTAAGGATATCCTCTTTTG